ATATAGGCTTATTTTCTTACACAATATTCAGACGGATTTATGTTACTGTTAATCTTCATAAATATTGTACAGCTTGAACAGTACAGCATACATTATTTGCGGAGCACTGTTCTATCCACTGTGGAATTTTTGTGGTTGTGTTTTCAGAACGTACAAGGCTTCTTATTATTTTTGTATATTCAGGGTAATGCATCCTACCCCATATTATATTTCCTACATCAATCCTGATTATAACCAGATGCTGGAAAGAGGAATGTTTGGGCTGTTACTGCGAACTTTGAGAATTGGCATAGTTCTTTGGATTTAATGCATCCATATATATATATATATATATATATTTTCCCCTGTTATGGCTTCATGCTTAACTCCTCACATCTCCGACTCCCTTAGCACTCAGTTGTATACCTGGAAAAAACATGTTCCACTTCTACAATACACCAGAATGTGATTAATTTTCCTTTCCTGTTTCTGAAGAACCTATGTCATTTTATTCAGGGTTTTTTTTTTTACCCCCACATTTAGACTGTTAATAGAAATATTTGATTAGCAATCTATTTATTTATTTAAAATAATTCTATAGTGCCTTTAAAGACAAAGCCTCCCCAAGTTAAAACAGTAGATAACCTAGTGAATGCTATCAGGATATATATATTATACATTTTCATTCCAAGGATAATCCTCCCCCACATTCTGTTGAGACATGATAGCCACATTTCAAATATCAGAATCAAGTTAGATGTATCATTTTGCATTTCATATATAATTTTAAAAACACAAGTAGCAATTACTCCCAGGAAAACTGATCATTATTGTGATTGTAGCAGACAGAGAGGAGAAGTTTAACCTTTCATTCTCTGCTGAGTTCCTGGTAAAAATCAGTCCTTTTGAAGTTACTCTCCCTATTGTAGTCACAATTTTTATCATTCACACATCCCAGTGGCATTTAGAGAGCCAAAGTCATTTAGCAGTTTTGAACTTGACGTTTGAAGTTCCAGATGCTGTTCCTTAAGAAAACACGAAACTCATCAGGCAACTGTGAGCCATCTCTGTTCCACCTACCACACTCTGTTATTGTGTGGCTAAAGTGGGGAAAAAGCAGTCACGTACACTGTCTTGCATGCAACACACATTAGAGGAGAGGCAGGATATTAATGTAACTAACTAGCTAGCAAATATATGCATGAATGCTTACAGTGTGGATGTGGAACATAAAAATACATGTCACATCTCTTGCAGTCTAGCCCTTGGATTCCAAGGCAACATTGCTTCCATTAGAACTATGGACACTTTCATCTTCTGTGTTTTCTGGAGAATCATTTTTAAATTACATTTGCAATTACATTTGATATCTGAATGGTTGGTTGATGGAATCCATACTTCAGGCTGCTGTGCATGCATTTTCAGGGTCTTTATACAGCAAACCCTTTCTAGGTTAAATATTCAAAGGTGCGACAGGCATAGAAAAGCCCACAGGACCATTATATCTTGGCAAGGGTGACCCCTGGTTTCTGGGTTTTATTTTCCTGACACTGAAAAATCTTATGGACCTCTGAGGAATGCAAGGCACCCCCATGTTTTCCCCACAGAGTATGTCTGGGCATGCAAAAATGTTTGCTTCTCTCTCCAGAATACAGTCATCCCTCTACATTTGTGGCTTTAATTATTCACAGATTTGATTAATATCTAGGAATTTCTCAGTCCTCCAGCATGACTCTATGGTCAGCATCCACTATTTGTCACACTGGATGACATAGAGATTCCTAGAGAGAACAATTCTCTAGATATTTGTAGGTCCTCCGGTGCAATTGTGAAGTCAACGTCTACCAGATGTTGACCAGAGACTTGTGTTGAGGGATCTAAAGATTCCTAGAGAGGTAATCTTGTAAGTAAAAAAAGAAAAAAAGAAAAAGAAAATAGTGGGTTTTTATTTATGTTTTTTCCACTTTCACAGGGGTCCTGTGCCCCTAACCTGAGCAAAAGTGAAGGGCCCACTTTATATCTCTTTGTAAGCTCTCTTCTGATTGACTGGTTTGGATCATATGGTTCCAAGAGGTCTGAAACAAGGCCTTATTGGTTAGGAGTGGTGGGGTGAGTTCATGGAGGGGTCACATGAGGTACAAAATTGAAATCTACCCCCATTGAAATCTACCACCACCACCACCCCGGTACAGACCACATGGGTCCATGGATCTGAAACCAGTCCCTTTTAGTCAAGAGTGATGGGATAAGTTTTGGGAGGGGTCACATTCATTCTGGATGTCCCACCCTAGCAAAAGACACTTTCAGATGGGAAGGTGCTAAAGAGGCACCAATCAGTTTGACAAGCCATCAGCCATTCTTGACAGGCATCACAAAACCATTAATCATTTTTAACAGAAGCTATACGAGCCATTTGTATAACAAAAGAAGCAGTTTGTGAATGATACACAATGGATCTATGGATGTAGAATTTAAGTGTCAAAAACAAAGAAAGCTAATACATGTTAATACTGATGGAAGCCAATCCCCCCCCCCCCATCCATGGTATACTTAGATCCCCAGGGTACACAGGATATTGCCCTTAAAGGGCTGCCCGTTTCCTTGAACCTGGCAAAACACAACTCCTTTCCTTGCAGTAAGACTCAAGAGACCAATTTTCCAAGAGAATCTGATAGTCTGTTATCCATGCTTTAGATACTAATACAGATGTGGGCCAGGAGATAAATCACTTCCACCTTCCACAGAACAAAGGCCTCAGCCTACCCACTGAGAGGTAGGCAGCTGACTTCTCATTCTTCCTGTGGGATAAAAGAAAATATATATACTTCTTTCAAAAAGGTGAGGTAAGCTGGCTTAGTCCAGCCAGCAGCGACACTGTTTATAACTGCCTGCTTTGTTTGCTACAACTACCGGCTGTGCAGGTCTTAACACCCTAAAGGCACAAGATCCCATCTGATTTTGGAAGCTAAGCAGAGTCTACCTGGTTAGTACTTAGATGGGAGGCCACCAATGAATACCAGGTGCTATAGGCTATATTTCAGAGGAAGGAATTGGCAAAACCACTTCTGAGTATTCCTTGTCTAAGAAACGCCTATGAAATTCATGGGCTGCCATAAGCTAACAATGCAACTTGAAGGCACATAACACACACACAAACAAGTAGCAAGAATGCTGCACAGGTCATTTGACAACTCAGTCTTATCTCTTCACCATTCTTCCAGTTCCAATCCCCATAAATATAAGTAAAGGCAATGACCAGGCTTTCAAACAAAATAACCAATAATGCAACATAAAAAGGAGGAAGAGAAGTGGAGAAGGGAAAAATAAAGAAGAATGTAGCAGCACCTTTAAGACAAATTGGTTTTTATTTTAACATGAGCTTTCATGGATATAACCCACTTCTTCAGATACAGTACAGAATTATATCCTGCCTCAGCATATAAATCATATTTACACAGTTGTAGTGGTAGTGGGATGGAATATACAGTGGGTCTTTGCATATACCCTGGGGTTTGGTTCCAGGGCCCCCCATGGATACCAAAATCCATAGATACTCAAGTCCTATTAAATACAATGACACAGTAAAATGGTGTCCCTTATATAAAATGGCAAAATCAAGGTTTGCTATTTGGAATTTATGCTTTTAAAAAGATATTTTCAAGCTGTGGATGCTCAAGTCCATGGATAAAGAATCCGTGGATACAGAGGACCGACTGTACTCTGTAATGCATCTGAAGAAATAGGTTTGTATCCATGAAAACTCATGCTAAAATAAAATTCAGTTGGTTTTAAATGTGCTGATACATTCCTTCAATTTCCCCACTCTGTTCTTCCTTTTTATGCTGCAAGAGACCAACATGTCTACTTCTTTGGAAACTACAACAATGCAGCTTTTTACTTTCTGGGAGGAATGGTCAAACTCTGAACAAAACAATGCCTCTGTGTGGAGTGTAAGGTATGTGTGGAGTGTGTATGTGTGTATTGCACAGTAGCAAAGAGTAAGAAAGAGGAAATACAGTTAAAATGAAAACAACTGCCCTGATGACACACTGAGGAATTCCCTGAGGAGCAATGACAGCATTGTAGAAATGAAATGACTTAGCTAAAGTCACAGAAAGACCAGTAGCAGAACTAGGATTACTACTCAGAACTTATTGGTTTATTCTCAGGCTTTACATCTCAGCCACAGTTGCTTAGAGGAGAGAGAATCCCTTTGCTTCAGGGATGGAAGGAAAATCAATTCCATTCCCATTCATGTTTGGAATTGAAAAACCAACAACATCACCCCAGCACCTTCCGTCCTCTCTTCTCCTCGAGATTTCTTTGGCATAACTTCCCCAGACCTTCCATTTGTTTCTCTCCGTTCTGTTTCTTTGCCAAGCTGTGGGAAGCAAACCAGAATTTTGGATACAGCCAACTCTGACTCCCTAATCTAAACAAATGGAAACAATTTGTCCTGCTCCAGAGCCTCATGTGAGGCATTCTCCAGCTTTTCCTCAAATAACTCCAGAGATACAGTAAAGTTGCTGATGCTGCTGTTCTACTCGGGGCGGGAAGCAAAATGAATTTTCCCTAGCTCTGCATTCCCCCTGAAGCTTAGCCAGAAATAGGCCCATCAAGGCGTCCCTGCAAGGTTGAGAGAAGTTGAGCAAGCCTCCAGTTAGCGATGTTGGCCAGCCAGAAACCCCTGCCCCTACATTGTTAATTCTCAGAACTTGAAGGTGGATACAAAGCCAGAAACAATAATTCCAGTTTGAGCACTTGGAGTACATGCATCACCTGTCACAGGACATACAATGGGTAACAGGTAGCCAGGCTTGCTGAGGCTCCAAGGCTAGTAAAGTGCAGCCTACAGGTCACACATGTCCCACAAGATCTTCTGATACTCTGCCAATGCTCCTTACCATGTTTTTTTTTTCTGGAACCCCCCCCCCCCCCAACATACATTGTATGAATTGTGCAAAGGGATCTTGCCTCTTGAGACAAACTGTTCAAAAGAAGATGTAGCATGAGCTTTCATAGGCTTGGTGGTGGTTTGAGTGTTGGACTACAACTCTGGAGACCAGGGTTCGATTCCCAGCTCAGCCATGAAACACACTGGGTGATCTAGGGCATGTCACACCCTCTCAGCCTCAAAGGAAGGCAAAGGCAAACCTCATCTGAAAAAATTTGCCTAGAAAGTCCCGGGATAGGGTCACCATAAGTCAGAAAGGACTTGAAGGCAAACAACACAAGCACACATGTACACATGCATAGCCATGTGTGTGTGTGTGTGTGTGTGTGTGCATGCGCGTGTTGTTTACCTTCAAGTCCTTTCCAACTGGCATTACCCAGGTTATTTTAATTCCCAAAGCACTTGGTAATTAATATGGAATTCGTGATAATAAGTGGTTGTAGGGAACAGTGAAGCTAAGAAAGACTGTGGATTTTCCTTTTGGGGAGTAATTTCCAAAGTTTTTCAGTCAGAACAATATTTTCAAGCCTTCCATTAAAGCAAAGTTTTCAATTACAGTTGTCTGTCCATATCCATGGATTTCTTATCCACGGATTTAAGCATCCACAGCTTGAAAATATTCAAAAAATAATATAAATACCAATAAGCAAACCTTAATTTTGCCATTTTATATAAGGGACACCATTTCTCTATGCCACTGTATTTAATGGGACTTGAGCAACTAAGGTTTTTGGTGACTCATAAGTGGTCCTGGATCCAAACCCCAGGAGATACCAAGGGCCCATTTTATTCTAAAATACTACAAATTCCAAAGGCAAACCTTGCTTTTGCCATTTTATTTAAGGGACATCATTTTACTATCCCTTTGTATATAATGGGACTGGAACACCCACAGATTTTGGTATCAATGAGGGGTCCTGGAAGCAAACCCCAGCAGATAATAAGGTTCCCCAGTGTATTAAAATTAATATAAATACCAATAAGAAAACTTGTTTTTGCCATTTTATATAAGGGGTATTATTTTACTTTAGTTGTTGTTGCTGTTGTTCTGCCCTCGAGTCGATCTTGACTCATGGCAGCCCTATGGATGAGACATCTCCAAGACCTTCTGTCCTCCACTGCTCTGCTGAATTCCTGGAAGCCCTTAATACCCATGGCCTCCTTAATAAAGTTCATCCATCTGGCATGTGGCCTTCCTCTCTTACTACTTCCTTCTACCTTTCCCAGCATTATTGTCTTTTCCAATGACTCTTCTCTTCTCATGATGTGTCCGAAATACGACAGCCTCAGTTTGGTCATCTTGGCTTCCAGGGAGGTTTCCAGTTTGATCTGCTCTAGGACCCACTTGTTTGTCCTTTTGGCTGTCCATAGGATGCTCAGCACTCTTCTCCAGCACCACATTCTCTCAAATGAATTGATTTTCTTCCTATCATCTTTCTTAACTGTCCAGCTCTCACATCCATACATGGTAATAGGGAACACAATGGTTTGTATGATTCTCACTTTTGTGACCCTTGGTTGAGAGGATTAGCATGTAAATCTGTGTATTGTTCTGGGTGGAAGAATATGCAAGAAGGATTAGTGTCTATTTAATTAATGGTCCGTTGTTTACTGGGAAATAGTATGTAACCTTATATATCCTTCCTTCCACCCAGAGGGCTTGCCTTAACAGAACAATACACAGATTTACAAGCTAATCTTCTCAACTAAGGGCCACACAATATATATACCCCACACACCTCCATGCCACCATTCTCTGAAGATGCCAGCCACAGACGCAGGCGAAACATCAGGAATTCATTCTTCTCGAACACGGCCTCACAGCCCAAAAAACCCACAAAAACCTATGGACGCCAGCCGTGAAAGCCTTCGACTTCAACTTGAAGCATGTTTAGGGTTCATTGATACCTCTACAAATCAGGGGAGGCACTTTGTGACCTTCTCTCAGCAGTTCTAGTCAACATAAGCTCTCGATGAGGAGTGCTGGGAGTGACAGTCCAACAGCATCTATAAGACTACATAGTTCTTAAGACACAGGGGGGTTGCAGACTGCCAGAAATAGTGCAAATTGAGACCACTTTTAGGGTTAGGGTTAGTGCTAGGGAATCATGGGAATTGGGTTTTTCCTAAGACATTGTTCTGGGCACCACAATTCAAAAAGGATGTGGAGAAACTGGA